GTCATCGTTACTGATATTGCATACATCTCATTAAACAACTTTCAGTTTTCGCTGCGTTATAAGCGGAGCACTTTATCTTTCAATTTTTTTCCTTCATCTTTCAAAAGTTTTTACTCTACAACATCTTAAGTTTGAACTGGAACAGGTTTCAAGGCTTGTAGGCATTATGTAGCTAGTTCTTCGGTTTTTGTCCGTCGATAAATAGTAAATGGTGAAACTAGTACTTCTTAAAGTTCATTAATTCCGATTTTTTTTACTAATGCGCATTGTATATTAGATTTTAACTCTCTAATCTTATCAATTTACTTCAAGGTAAAACCTAATTTGATTTTCTTTCGTTGACATTGGACTAATTGACACTAATAGCTACTGATATTTTGCTGATATTTCACAAATGGGAAAAAATGACTTTGAATGGCATAGTTAACTGTGTTTTGAAGGTCCCTGACAATTGAAACAACATGTTTAATGACAATATGATGATCCGTGTTCACGGWGTTGTTCTGCTTTTTATGAATCACGTTAACTCATTCGTTATCAAAGATTGTTGAAATTAGGAAATATCGTTTCTCMGTGAAGTGTCGCTAACTGCAATTAGTCACGTTTTTTTTGGTAAGTTTGATAAATTGTTTATCTATGTAGTTCTCTAACTCCTTTTGATATTGATAGCTAGGTTGACGCAAAATCCTCCTGACAACTTAATTGCCTTGTTGTGAGGCTAAACTCGTCTTAATTGCGCCTTGAAAATGGAGCTCTTAGTCGCAAGGACCGGTAATTACCATGCTTGATAACAMTATTTGCTGGAGAAATATTACAAATTACCCTGTCGATTCTATTAAAGATGCCAAAATGGCTTTTGATCATTTGGTTAAACAAGAAAATAGTCGGTGTTTTTAGGTTTAATGAAACTTTGTTTGTTTTATGTTTACTTTCAGAAATGTTTAGTTTGACAGCCGCGGTGTCCATTGTTTCACACAGTGGAAATGATCTTGGGTCTTTTTTTTTTTCAATTCCCGTGTCAATAAAAATCGCTATTATATATCATAGTACATTATCATCATATCAAAATGTCATGTTTGATTTTTTTTCCTTAAGCACGCTAATGCTTCTTAATTTATGATTTTTTTTTTGTCTTTTTGTGTTGCGGTGACAAACCCGATAGTGAAATGGATGTTTCTTGGGCAGTTTAGCAGAAGAAAACAACCGTTGGTGAGGGTTGTACTAAGAGATGTAGTCGCCAAAATGATTTTATTAGCACAAATGAGTTATCGATTGTCTTGGTTACTTCTCTTTATTTGTTTTCATTATTTTCTCTTTTTAACTGACTTTTTATCTCTCTACATTTTATTTYTCTGTCCTCTTTCATTTTTATTTCATTTTATTCATTATTCATTCAGAATAAGGCTTAATACCTGGTGGTGGAGAGAGGAACACCAGCGAACCACTACTCGTGCCAACCTAGTAATAATAAGAAAAAATATTGTTTAATCAACATACATGCTCATTTGATGATTCGTTTAGAGCKTTTAATCAATTCYCATGACAAATGCACCCAATAATTATTTTTCATTTTGCGCTCTGACGTCACAGTGCTAGTTCTTTTGTCCCCGGTCTCGAGCGATAGCYATCCAATCAAAATTCCGACGATAAATTACRAAACCAATCAAAATTTACCATTATTTTCACTCAAAAATGCCATGAAAGGTTCCATTCAAACGCAAAACTTAATTTTGATTTACTTACTGAGTCTTTAAATCTTTATTGGACCTCAATATCGTAATGAGGCTAATATACAATGTGTCTTTCATCTTATTTAATAAAGCCTCTTTTACAAAGACAGTCAACCAATACCGAAAAATATTATTTCCGATGCAATAACTTTTCGTCTGTTGATATTGTTGTATGTTATAAATTGCCTGTCTGAGTTCACAAGTTTTGACAAGGTGCAAATTCTACACCTTGGATATCTTGAAGATAAACTTTKGAAGACAGCTGCGCTCTTGTGCGATTCCGAAAAGCATAAAAAAATTTTGAGTCTTTGAAGGAATTTTGGATATATTTGCGTAAAGACAGTGGAATTTAGAAATATTTTTAGAGCAAAACTATGACGATAAGTTGTAATGTACAGAGATAATATGAATCTTATTTAAAATAATTGCCGAATAAAAATAATGGCAACGATTATTAGTTTTATAATATAAGAATTCAATCATAACATATAATCAGATAATATTAATCCAAACAGCACAATACTTGGTGTGCAAAAGTTCAGTAACACTATAGCTGTATTCGTTGCCACTTTTACACACTAAACGTCGTTTAACGGCTTTGCGTTGTAACTTCTAAAACACTTACAGATTGAGCTACTCTCAAAATCAAAACGACTTATCAGAGCTCTCGACTTATCGAATGGTTTTGTCTATGAGCACCTCTAGTATTATAAAGCTGAAGTACTTTTCACTCGAACCAAAAGATTAAAATCCTGCCGGAATGATCGAAAACTTGATGTTCTTTTGATCCGTGCCGTTACGAGTTTCAAAAAAGGTTTTTTTTTCACGATTTTTTTCTGTTTTCGGAGAAARGTTTTAAAGTGAGCAGTCAAATGTTGATATTATCGCTTTGGGTGTTACTGCACAAATTTTGCTTCATTGTGAGAAAAAAGGTTAATTTTAAACTCAAAAAACATAGGATCGTCATTCTCGCTGTTGGTCTGTTGTTAGTGCAAAATTGTTTTCTTTTTTAATAACTTAATTGTTTTACTTCTGGTCATGTATCACTGTTCGCTGATATTTTTGTTATCCTTATTGTTGTTTTTATTACTTCGTCTGTTGTAAAATGACCAATTTAATTTTCCTCGCAGACAATTTGTCGGCATTACACTGATCTTTGAGCATCTAAAAGTGCGAAACCCTGCTAAGATTAAGAAAATAATAATCCAAAATCATCACTTTGAATGCTAATCAAAGTTTACTGTTCCTCGACTGGTATATATTCATTGCTATAGTTTCGTCCTTAAATAAACATTTTCACATTTCTTGTACAACTTGTTTTCTTGTATACGCTTCTACAATCTTAAATTTAATGTTTTATTCAGATTAAAACAACTTTTGATATTCACCTCAAGCCCTTTTATCCTATCYTCTACAATTAAAACAGCTAAACGATTTTGTTAACAACTTCACACTTACCAGAAAGCACATGAGAATCATAAAAATGCTGTCATCCCAAGTTGGATTCATGGCTGCTTGAAGAATCCAGGTTATAGTTACTCTAATTCGATGTTTCTTGTCATGTTTATATAGCTCAAGAATCAGTCCCACTCGCTATTACGGTAGCACTTTGGTTWCCAGGGATACATCCAGTCAAGTTAACGAATGAGAGTAGAAATCGGTCGTAAGCAAACAGGTGTGACTGCTTCAGCTTAATTTACCATGGACGAATTCCCTGATTATTGCTAATTTAACCACTCTGACGCAAAGACCGGTGGGTTTATTCTAAGCTGACGAAAAGCTTGTGGCTTAATATCACAATTTTAAACGTCTTATTTCACATGAGTCACATYATGTCATTTCGAGCGACATTTTTCATTTACTGGATATTTAGGTCAACAAAATGCAAAAACAAGATACAGACTGTAACAGAAATTAGCCAAAAAGCATTCACTATAATTCACACAATCTAACGAAAAAATTACAATGTACTTGATATCAAGGAGCTAAGAGCTCCAACGGTGCTTCCTATTTCAGGCCGTTTTCTTCAGATTCAAATTCGATTGATTTGTAGAAAAAATCGTTGAAAAGCARTACAGTTTGCATTGAAAATAAACACTCGAGCTTGGCTGGAATTGTATACTATTTATGATTTGGAGAAAAACAGACAAAAGAGGCTAGGACAAACAAATTGTCAGGGTGCATTTTCATTTGTTCATCCATTCATTTATTCAATTGTTCATTCAATGTTTTCATTCATTTCTTCAGAGGATATATGATCCCTATTGAGGAGTTTATCTCTCTTGGAGTTCGACAACGAAGCGTCTAATCTTCAAAAGGAATACAGTAAAATAGAAAGTCTCTTTGAGAGATCACTAATCGAAATATGGCCAACACCCGGATTAAACAACTTAAAAACGGTTAATATGTCGATGAAGCAAGAATTGTGTCAGCAAGAAATTCTCGCTTCTTTCCCATAACAGGAAGAATTTAAAACCATGTTCAAATAATTAAAACAATTTTCAACGAGAAAAAAGAAATGTTTACATAAGCTTTACATGTGTTCTAGAGCTTGCCCGGTAATTTGAAGGAACTGAAATCTTACACAATCGAAAAAACAAAACTCTACATATAAATCTAACTTCAGTCATGTGTATTCTTTCTAAAACACCATTCGCGTGAAAACGTGAGGAAAATTACTCAATATATAAAGTCGTAAAATATATATCCGATAGGGGGTAATGCTAATGTGYTGACTTATTAACCTAATTATTGTTGCTTGACGTATTGATGGCTTTGTTCGTTAGTGATGTTTTTAGTTTTGGTAGAATTAAAACACTCAGAATTTCTAAAATGATGATATTCTTCCGATATAATTAAGCTCGCTATTAGTGTACTCAAAGGCCAATGTTCCTGCGATTCTATAAAGAAGTCATAAATTAATATTTTCAAATAACTTTTTGTTGTTGCTGCTGTTATTTATTCTCCAGTATATTATAGAATAAGTTTTGATAAGTTGTTAATAAATACATGAATAAATGAATGAAATCATTGGAAAAGTGACAAAAAAAATGATTGGTTTATAGTTTATGTAGGAAGTTAACGAACACTAAGAAACACTGAGAAGAATAAAAAATATCACTAAAGTGCAATATACTGATTGCTATGATATCTCATTCAAGATAAAGAGGTAATTCTTTTTCTAGAGGGGATTGTTTTAAGCTTAAAGTGGAAAGAAGTAGTAAATCTACTTAAACCTAAGCCTGCTAATATGATGTAAGTCTCAATAAAATATTACCTATAATCAATAGCAATCTTAAAAATGATACTTAGTGGTGAGTGGTATCTTAGTTATCGCACAAGAGTGGAATATAGAAATATTTGTTTCTTTGTTTCTTTTGTTTAATATTTTCACTTCATTGTCACAGTTGATCGATTCTTTGGTTGCATTATATATTTTTACTTTATTAACTGCATTGGAAAAATAATTGATTGATTGGTTGACTGGTTGGTTGGTTGATCGATCGATTGATTGATTGATTGATTGGCTGATTGATTGATTGATTGATTGATTGGTTGATTGATTGGTTGAATGATTGAATGATTGAATCAATGATTGATGAATAAGATGGTTGGCTGTTTGGATAATTATTTAGTAAGTGAGGTATTTTTTGCTGGTTGATTGATTAGTTATTTCGTTTGGCTAATCGATTAGTTGACTGATTTCGTCCATCCATGCCAAAGTATTTATTACCTTCCCTTATCAACATGCCATGTCCTTTTACAATCGTAGAAAGGGTGAAAAAAAAAATTGGTTGCCAAAAAGTTAGTTTCATACTTCTAAACAAGACACAAGACGAATTGAACCAGCCTAATGACTTCTTTTGTTTAGTTTGTCAGTCCAAATTAGAAAGTCCGATACGTTTTCTATAAATTGTTTATATAAGAATTGACATACAGTGTTGAAATGAGACTAGCAAAAGCCATACCGAAAATGAATTGGTGTCAATGAATTCACTTTCCTACGAAAAATGTAACTAAGCAAGTGCTGAACGGGGGAAAAAAATTAAAGAAAATAGCATTAAATGTGAAATTATTTTTTGGTGTAGTGTAGAATTAATTGTTCAGTTTTAGTTTAGCTGATTATTTTTTCCCCCTTTTTCTCTATAATTCCATTCTTTTTGCGTTTTAACAGTACAGTCAACTCTCTCGTTCTCGTAAGCGACCACCTCGGGATCAGGAACAAGTGGTCGCTTACGAGAGATGGTCGCTTACGAGAGAGTTTTTTTTACAGAGTTTATATTGGAAACAATTGGAACTGGAAATTTAAAAGGTGGTCGCTTACGGTATATGGTCGCTTACGAGAGTGGTCGTTCATAGAGAGTCAACTGTATTTCAATTTAGTTCAGATTGCACCTTTGGATACTTTGTAGTAAAAAAAATTCATTAGCGAGATTTTTCTTGTCCAAATAAGATTACTCTCGATTGAACAGGAAGCTGTCAAAACTACTAGAGGTTTAATTTGCTTTTAACTATGTTTCTGACTTGCGATGCCATACAGGATATCTCGTTGCCCTACCACTAGATTTCTTGTAGAATCTTCCTGCTTATTTTCGTGATGATCTTTTGACGTTTTTAACGCCAAAAATAGGCCAGATATCTATTTTTAAATTTTCAAGTCTCATTACTGCTAGCATATRAGTACAAAAATCACAATAATTAATATCAAAACTATAATGGTAGCAAGTTTGGCGATARAACGTCGTTCCTCTTTTGATTTCGTCAACTGACAATCGCACCGATTACAATGATAATGAAACGAACGTAATTGGAAATAACTGATAATCATATTATGATCTTGAGACTAAGTCATTTTCTGTTTTGCTAATCTCTTCATTCAGATGATTTCAGAAGAAACGCGGTCACTATAGAAACCCTATCTGAATTATTGACCATGATAATGATGGTTCAAAAATAGAGATATGATCCGATTTATGAAGTATATTATAGTCTTATTAATTTCACCGTCGTTAAAATTATACAATTTGCACTGAAAATGATAAAAATCGCCGTGGAAAAGTTAACTTAGTTGGACTTTGAAATTAGTTAGATAAGTAGATAAGGCATTTAATTCAATCAGGTACCGCTAAGTTCAAAATAATGAAGGCACTAATTACGTTGCTTCACGGGTTTGCTGTGGAGTACATTCTAGACCGTTTAGCAACCGTTTCTTGTAGCGAAGTCAAGTCTAAACTCAAAGGATTTATAGAGGCTTGCGGTTCATCATGTGGCGAAAGAAAAAACGTCTCCTCATAAGTGTGTTTCTGGTTATATGTGGAATTTTTGTTATCTGTATTCACCGAAAAACGATTCCAATTGTCAGACAGAATAAGGTAAGCTTCGTGGCTCTGTCAATTCGCCTTTTAATAATGAATTTTCTTCGAGTACTTATTCTGGGTGGCCTAATGGGAAAACAGCAAAAAAGCTATTCCAAGTCTGACCTGCCAAATGAAGGGCGGCTTTTGTCTAATAATTCCTTTTACAATGCAATTGATGTACCCTACTGGAAWATGTAAATGGAAATAAAGGAAAATAACATATTGAATACAAAATGTTTCCGTATTTAGAAATGTGTAAGGTCATTTACCAGAGCACAACATGGGGATAATCTAAACTCTGTAACGTTCATTTGTTATGATCACAGAACAAACGTCCAGCAAGAGAAACAGAACAGAACTACACCGAGGTCATTCAGGTATGTATAACGTTTGGTGGAAACTWGCGGCAAACTAGTGTGAGCTGCGTCGGTGTTGTCTAAAGAAACAGTGATGCAAAAGGATAAATTTAACACCGTAAAAAAGTATGTGAAACACTAACTTATCCTCCGAGTCGAAAACGTCAGTAAGTTGTTTCAACCTACTTTTTCACGGTGTTAATTTTATTTTTTT